ACAAGCCATAACAACGAACTCGGGCGGAGCGAAGACGCAGATCAACAGAATCCAGCTGTTTTTGCATATTTTTGCCATCTTATTTTAATTTGTAAAAAAAATAAAAATCTGTATGCCTCTTTGATAATTGTCAGTTTTTCATCATTCTTTGTTGAAATCAGGTCTCTCTTGTAAATGAGTCCTCGAGGCTCAGTGGGATTAGCCTGTCTAAATAAAGGTTGAATGAATGAAGAGAGATCCAGATATAAACACCCGGACATAAAAACTGTAACATTGCTTTTCTGTCTCACATTCATTTTTAGATGTCAACCCCAAATGTTTTCTATCTAAAACCAAAGGAGCTCAGTAAACCGAGACTCTGCAGAGCAGGCGGTATTTTCCAGTCTCTTATTGTCTAATGTTTGTGAGTCTGTGTGAACTGTAGCTTCATGTTCCTGCTCTTAGCTGACAGGAAGTGTTACCTGGTGTGGTCTTCTGCTGCCGTGCACCATCTCCTTTAAGGTTAGACGTTTTGTATTCAGAGATGGTTCTGCAGACCTTTGTTGAATGAGTCATTATTTAAGCTGCTGTTGTCTTTCTGTAGCTCATTATACTACGCAAAAGGAACATTAAAGAAATACTGCTTTTCTGTCATTTTTATAAATATGAATTTATGGGAACATTATGTTTGACTCTGCCAGGGCTGTCCTTGTCTCCAGTCATGTTTGTGGTGTTCATGAACAGGATCTCAGAGTGTAGTGGAGGAAAGGACAGTGTCTGGTTTGGGACTCTTAGGGTCTCCTCTGCTTTTTTGCAGATAATGTGGTTCTGTTGGTGTCTTTGAACTACAACCTTAATCGTGCACTGGGGCAGTTTGCAGCTGTGTCAAGCAGCTGAGATGAGCGTTAGCTCCTTCAAGTCTGAGGTCATAGGTTGGAGAACAGTGTCTGCCTCAAGTGGAGTAGTATCTGCAAGTCCAGTTTACAATTGGTAGGTTGGAGCAGGAGATAGATCAATGGATCAAAGGCTCAAAAGTAATGAAGGTGTTATTTCAGTCTGTCTTGATCAAAAACAAACAAAGCTCAAAGGTAAAACTTTTAATTTACTGACCCATCTACATTCTAACTATCACACATGGCCATGAGGTTTGGATCATGACCAAGAACCAGATTCCAGGTACAAGCAGGTAAAATCAGCTTCCTACGTAGTGTGGCCGGCCTCAACCTTAGAGAAGGAGCTTCGTCATCTAGGTGGAGCTGAAGGTAGGGATGTAGCTGTATTGACACGAGTCGGGTGAGGGGATTCAATTTTCTGATGACTTCTTGGTCATGTCCTACTGAAAGGAGACCCCAGGCCAGACTTTCAGGCCTGTGAATGCATTAGGATCCTCAAGAAGGTTTCTCTAGTTTGTAGTTTAAATAAATAAACTGAATTGAATTGAAAACTGAATAGTTTGGGAAAGGGATGTCTGAGTTTCTCTCCTAATCCTGCCTCCCTGACCAACCCACAGATAAACCTTTAAAAATGGATGGACTGGTCTGAACTGCTGCCAGTCATCTCCTTAAATATTACACCTGTTTTATGTTTCCTGGAATTCTGTGTATCAGACCTTGACAGGGTTGAATCACCATCTCTGTTGGGTAAGGCATGAAAACCATCTCCTTCACGTCTCCTTCAGATTCTGGTTCCGACCTGGTGGACCTTAAAACTTTATGCTGCATGATTATACAAGAACATAAATGTATTCCGGGTTGCTTGGATCAATGGTTTTCCCTCCAGCTGAATCCTAAATTGTTGCATTTAATTTTTTGTTTTAGAAGGTAATTAGGAAAGAATAATACAATCGAAAACATGTTTGTTTGTTTTCACTCATGTTATTCATGTAAATTAATCTTACCAAATTAATATTTTATATTTTGCTTTGTCTTCTTTAGACTGGACACTGAGGGGATTGATTTGCTGTCTGCTCTTCTACTGGTATGAAACTAAAGGCCAATGGTCCTCTCAGTCATAGACACAGTTTTCAACTTGGATTGTGAATGTGTGTATTTTCTAAGCAGCCAGTTCTGTCTTGTGTTTGCAGTTCGACACCAGGAGCAGAATGTCCTCTGAAGCTGCTCTCCATCATCCCCATTTCCTCAGTCTGGGGGAGAACATACACAATTTGGCAGACAGTGAGTTAAAATTGCAAGCATTCAAAAAAGTTCATGAAACTTATGGAAGACTTGTGTCCTACTAAAGGGATATCGGAATCAGAATAAACTTTATTGGCATCGCACCGAGATACAACGAGAACATGTACGTACAGTCGTCCGAAAGATGGACGGAGTGCACGAAGCTGCTACTATACAAAGTGCGGCCCTCTTATTCTTATTCAGAATATTTTGCTTAGATGAAAAAAGGGAAGAAAACATGAGGAGAGACGGTATAAAAAAAGATCTCTCACTCCGTGTCCTAGACAGGGCACGATTTGTGGCATCAAAAAAACCTACCACTGCAAAGCAACATAAACAGACGTCATACATGAACATATAGACCGGTGAAGACATTGAATTTTAAGGGAAAGTCATAGTCGTTGTCCAGAGCACCCCCCCCCACCCCCACCTACAGTATGTAGAATGGAGAAAATGGCCGTGTGCGCCCCCTCCTGGACATCCTGGGCATTACCCATGATCCTAAGCAGCTGATCACAGAGCAATATATGCAGCATACAGTTCTATCCATTACACTAGCAGGTGAAGTCTGGTCCACTCTGTCTCTTTTGTGCAGCTTCCACAGTACAGATTTCTTAATACATTTTTCTTTTGGAATCTTCAAGCCCTGTTCTTAATTGTTAAGACAGAATCGTTGCAAATTTGAGTCATTTTGGGCTATTTTGAACTTTAAAGTTGGAAGCGCGTTTCACTTTGCTGCCATCCTCTCCTCACCAGCCCGAAAGTCACCAGCTCAAACATTTCTCAACATGAGATTATCTTAGTGTAAAACAAAGGTATGACAGCTGGTAGGTGATATGCATTCCTCCATGGAATAGAGTTACATTTGGGCCTAAAAATCTGACCCGGCCCGAACCTGTATCATTTTTTCCGAGCCTGACCCGAAACTGACCAATTAACTGTAATTAGAGGCGGAACACCACCCCCAAAAAACAACTTTTTTAAAGCTTTTGTTGCTTTTGTAAGCAAATCAGTTTGACATGAAAGTTTTAAAAATGTATTTCAAAGAAAAGAAGATATAAGATTTCTTGTTTATTAACAACTAACTTATTATAATTATTATGATATTATAGTTATTAACAGTCAGCGGACGCACGCGGCTGATGATCCGGTTGTCCATCTGTCACAACCCGCCCCCAAAACTAAGGTAAAAGGGGGATTAATTACATAAAACACTAATTAAGTCATGGACCGTGCCTGGAGCTGACTGTGCAAAAAACTTACCGGTATATTGGTTGAGGTGTAGGAATAACCAGGTACAGTAAACAGAAACTAATTTAACCACACAGGCAAAAAGCTCTCATAAATAAACTAATAGTAGATTGGCCACGAAGGATAACATTTAAGGCAGTTAACACAGTTTAATCAAGCCATCAGTTTTGCCCCACAAACGCTTCATCCCACAACATTTCCATATCAACACATAAAATCCCACAAACCCCATAAATAAAAAACAAACTGATCAAACTTTCAGTCCAACTATCCTCTTTGAAGGAAAGTTCATTCTGAAGGAGGATGAGGGAAACGCCCACTCAATCTAGGCGTTGGCGCACCAAAATAAAAAGAAACGATCTCACCAGATCTCAATGTCCATAGGCTTTAGCGTGCCTCTGTTACAGCCCTGGGTAAGAAAAATAATAATCCCACGCGATCCAAACTCATGGTGAAGAATAATCTGCATGTAATCCAAGGCAACAGCCTCAAGTCAGATGCTCCTTAGCAGGTGCGCACCCAAGAAAAAAAATGCTGTCACTTCTAAAACCAAAAGCCCGACCCGGCCCACCCATCAAGCTCATCATTTTGACCCGACCTGGCACGAATTTCAGGCCGGGCTGGTTCAGGCTGGAGACTCAAGCCAAAAGTCACAGCTCTACCATGGAAGGCCTTCAGATTAAAAATAATCATTTAAAAATGGTAAACTCCACTTTAAACTTGGCTGCTTGTAAAATAAGCGTTAAGTCCGATTCTTTTCATTCAACCTTTATTTAGACAGGTTAATCCCACGGAGCCTCGGGGACTCATTTACAAGAGAGACCTGATTCTCTCTGGGCTGAAACTGTTGGAGATGTGAGGAAGTAGGTGAATTTTTATTATTAATCAGTCAAGAAGTTTTTTCACCTGGACATTCAGAGCTTTGGCTTCACGTTTCTAACTCTCCAGACTTAATGGAGACCACCAAATAGTGAAAGAGTGAAAGTGCTTTGGGAGGCCATTCTGGAGACGTGATTCCTGCCCAGTGAGGTCCAGGTTTTTGCTAATCAGTTTTGATCCTCCAGACTTTGGCTGTTCATAACTTTCACACAATGTACTACTTAAAATGGTCAAAAAGCATCTTTAAATTCATTCAACCTTTATGCAAGTTAGTCTCATTGAGTCACGAGAACTCATTTACAAGAGAGACCTGTTAAATGCTTAAATGATGATTAAATGATGATTAAATGATTCCTTGTCCCTCTTTGTTTCAGCTGCATCTGTGTTTTCTCTCAGCGAGGTGCAGCTCCAGAAGGACCCGGGTCACCGCAGCTCAGTGTTCCAGCCTTTAAGTAAGACTGCAGAAACCCACTCTGGTTATTGATCTTTGACTTGGTGTTTTTAGATTGTGTAATGTGCTTGTGAAGCCTCGTGGTGCTTTTGTTGTCCTACTATGTTTGGTTTTTCACCACATCTTGTATCGCTGAAGGGCTGACAGATGAATTCTGCTCATTAGCCAAGCTCTCTGAGAAACATCTGTGCTGTTGGATAATGACACACTGTTGTTGCCCAGCTCGCAGAGGAAGTGAAAATGCTTATTTAAAGGTGGTTACTAGAGCCCAACCGATATGGACATTTTTGCTGTTGCCGATACTGATATTGGGAGGGGAAGGCGGCCGGCAAGAACTGATATAATGGCTGGAAATGTTTTAGCTTTATCCACCCCCAATAATCTAAGTTAAGAGTGAGTGGAGCAGAGCTTGTTTATTTAGCACAGCTGTTAGCAACCATGAAGCTAAGCTAATCAGATCCACGCTACGTAGTCCCACACTGGGTTTACAAGTGGAGCACTGGTCATAAAAACAGTCTTCCTAACGTGCATTCACATTTTATGTCCTCCACTATTCACCATAAAGTTATCAAGTGTGTTGATATAAATTATAAATTTAAACAAACAAAAATTAAACAAAGAAACACCCTTCCCTATTCATTTTTTTAAACAGTCAGCCACGTATGGTGAAGGTCTAATTAGTATCGACCGCAGCAGAGTTTATTTTTCTTTGTAGAGAAGTAAAGATTTCAGACAAACAATGAATTTCATTGAGGACAACAAAGATAACATTACTAACAATGATATATATTTTACCTCTATGTTAGATTTATTGTTCTGGATAAAGTTTTACAAGGCAATAGCCTATGCTAGGTTATCTAAACGTTAGCTTGCTAACTTGAGAGGCACGTAGCTAATGACAAGTGGTTGGAGGATTGAAGATAATTTATTATTGTTGATTTATTTTACAGTTCAGTTAAAATGAACTCACCATGCTCTGGTCAGCAAAATATGCCACACAGTATTGCTCACTGCATCGTATGTGCTGAAAGTGAAACTTAAGTGAATGGCAATGACTTCAAAGTAGTCTTCATGCATCCTCTGCTGGATACATTGTACAATTACAAACACGGGGCGGCTGTCGCTGAGTGGTTAGAGCAGTCGTCTTCCAATGCAAGAGTTGGGGGTTTTATTCCACCAGCAGTCACATGCCGAAGTGTTCCTGGGCAAGACACTGAACCCCTCATTGCCTCCGATGTGTGTCCCATCAGTGTATGAAAGTGATAAAGCTCTGATTATTCTTTGTACAGATATAGTAGAGCACTGTATGAATGTATAAATGAGGGCACAGATTGTAATGTAAAGAGCTTTGATATCTTGATAAGATAGAAAGGCACTGTATAAGTACAGTCCAATTACCATTTACAATTACAGCTGATCCAGCATTTTAGGGGTGAAAATTAGAAGTGCTTATATCAGCACATAATGGAACAATTATCATAGATACCCAATTAGCATAGGTCCCCAAACATCTATATCAGTCTAAATTATCAGCCTATCGATATATCTGTTGGGCTCTAGTGGTTTCTGTCATGAAGTCCTCTTGTCAGGGTGTGTGAGTGTTGATGACAGATCATCAGATAAAGCTGCTGTTGTTGGATCGAACAGGACCATCTGAAGTCATCAAATGATTAAACATGTGGATCATCTGCTAACACCAACAGGCTTCATTTAATCTGTCCTCTTTCAGGTCGTGGAAAGAATCGAAGACAAAGCATCTTCTAGATAGAAGAAAAACAGAAAGAGAAGCTGTCTTCAACGAGACCCTTGACACCTGGACACACACACCTGCACAAAGAAAACCAGTCTTCTCTCAGTATTTCTGAATAGAACCTTGTCCTGCTCTTAATCACTGGATGCACTCAGACATGTTCTCTGAGCACATTTACTCAACCATTAACAGCACACACGTTGCGCAGACACAGTTGCACTATAGTTGTTGTTTTTGTGTCCCCCTGAACACACAAAGCATCTGTGCTGACGTAAAAAACTGGCTCCGAGAGACAGCTCTGTGATGGTGTTATATAACACATGGTATGGGGTTGTGATTCTTAAAGGTGCATCTCGTTTGTTCTCAGAAATGATCATTTCTAAGTTTGAGTTTAAATATATGGAAGGCCCTGAAGTCAAAACTCCAACCTAACCATCAATTTGGCCGCCCTGCACAGGAGAAGTAAAGTAATACCTTTTTTTTTCTGTTGCTTTATGCCCCATTGATCAGCTGTGCACAGTGTGTTGCACAATGGTTAAATGCAGTTAAATCCATTTGTATTAGATTGTATTGCTAATAGCAGTTAGCCAACAGTTAGCAAGACCTCTCAATTTCCGCCTTGTAACAAGAACCCAGTTCAGTTGGGTCTTGCATCAATTTGGAAACAGACTCTTAAATGTTCAGAAGAGCCTAAAGGAAATCAATCAGTTCAAACGTCAGAGAAATAAAAATACACAGTATTACACATGAAAATATTAGATGATTACAAACAGCATCTCTAATATGCCAAAAACATGCATGTTAGGATGCCTCTTTTCATTCATTCAACCTTTATTTATACAGGTTAAGCCCTATTTGCAAGGGATTAGTTTTACCTAGAGACCACATGTTATTTGTAATAATTACAGAGATTGTCTGTGTTGTTAATGCCGTGCGAATCGGCCATGTCAGTCATTTGTAAAGTAAAAATTCTCCTTCAAATTAACTTACATATTTTTGCTGAACTCCGATGTTCTATGATAATACTAATCCAATACAAATAGGCATCCCTGTGATTTGGACAGAAATGGGTGCGAGCCAATACGTAATTAGGCGTTTTGTGTTTCCTGGGCACATTTTTATTTGCTTTTGTCAATGGAGGCTGCATTGGAGTGCATAAATAACCTTTTATGTCCTGGACCAGCAAAAGCCTGTCGACCCATAACGGTTGGCAAAAAATAAAGAAAATGCTGAAGAGAAGGAGTAATATCAAATGAAAATGGTGGCTCACATCATGTACTGAACACACAAGCGGCTGTTACGCAATACACAGTGCGTTAACATCATATCCAGAAGATGTCAGCATGACGGCTCATTGGTTAGCACTGTTGCCTCACAGCAAGAAGGTTCTGGATTAAATCCCCGGTTGGACCTGGGGTCTTTTTGTGTGGAGTTTGCATGTTCTTTTCATGCTTGCGTGGGTTTTCTCCGGGTACTCCAGTTTCCTCCCACAGACCAAAAACATGCATGTTAGGCTGCCTTCAGGCCCAGGCCTCCCTTGCATAAGAGATCTGGGATCTCAGTGGGATTTGCCTGGTTAAATAAAGGTTAATATAAAAAGTCCGTAAATTTCAGTTAAATCTCAGGCTTTGGTTATCCCGTGCGAATGGGCCACATAAAAAGCAGACGCTGGGGAGTAATTTATTTATTACGTGGTCCCTAGGTAAAACTGATCCCGTGCGAATAGGGCTTTAGTCTCACTGAGTCACAAGGACTCATTTACAAGAGAGACCTGTTTTAAGCAAAAAACGCAGATGAGGTTCAGAAAACAATCCTCAACATAAAGCAATTAAAATAAAATAAAAGTATTTATAAAAACTGTCAAATCAAAGAGCCTTATAAAACAAAGTATTTTTCAGCATTTAGCACCAGTTTGAGGTGGAATAAGTTTTTTTCATTCAACCTTTATTTAGACAGGTTAATCCCATTGAGCCTCGAGGACTCATTTACAAGACAGACCTGATTTTAACAAAGAGTGATGACAACAGTGGACAACAACAACAATAGACAGTTATAAAAAGGCATACAGATTATTTTTTTTTTTTTTTACGAATTAAAATAAGATGGCAAAAAAAGTAACAAATACAGCTAGATTATAGGGCGACTGTAGAAAACTAAAAACAGGAACATGTCTGCATTAGTCCTTGCCAGGAGTCCAACAGATTCTTAAAGACACTTAGAGAGGTCAAGGTCAAGAGCTTCAAATCTTGTTGTAAGATATTCCAGGAAACAGGAGCGGAGTAGGAGAAGGTCCTTTTGTCTAGTTCAGTCCTCACTGAGGGAACACTGCAGGTAATGATGTCCTGAGAGCGCACGCTGTAGCTGCACTCACACAGAGACATGTAGGAGGAGATGTATGAAGGCAGCAGACCAAGAAGTGATTTAAAGATGAAAATGTACCAGTGAGAGAGTCTGTGTGAAGTTAATTATGACCAGTTAACCAGTGAATACTGGGTGCAGTGGTGGGTACGATAATCACAGCCAGTTATGAATCTTAGTGCACCATGATAGACAGCATCCAACATCTGCAGCATCCAACATCTGTAGGGTTCTTGTAGGAGCGTTCATGTAAATAATGTCACCGTAATCAATGGAGGGAAGGAAAGTCACAGTTACAAGGTGTTTCCTAACATTCAGAGTTAGACAGGATCTGTTTCTGAAAAAGAAACCCAGTTTAAATTTCATTTTCTTTACTAGGTTTTCCACGTGAAGCTTAAAAGAGAGATGTGAGTCGACCAAGATACACAAATATTTATAGGAATCAACAAACTCAATGGGGACACCATTTGAGGATAAAATCTGAGGAAGAACTGCTGGGACCAACTTCCTGTTTGAAAAAAACATCGTTTTGGTTTTGTCAGCATTTAGGACAAATTTGAGGTGGAACAAATCTGACTCGGATTACTCCAAAGTGGAACAAACCAGTTTTGTTTGGAGGAGGGTGTTAGGAGTGCGCGGGGAACCCAGATGATATGAGACCCAGAACGAG